TGGAGAGCTAATGACTCTAATGTAGGCAACAAAGCTTATTTACAAAAAAGATGTGACTGGGGGTGGAAAGAGGAGTGTCGATAGAACCTTAATTAATTGATTTGCTAATTATTCTTTTCTGCTGGGTGTTATAGTACTTTTACTAATGAGCAGCAGTAATAAGAATGCTTCAGCAAGCTGTATGAACTCACTAGTAGTGGAATAGCTTCTTGGGGGTTTTAAGATATTTTGGGGTTCCTTTCTATCCTCTTTTATGCTGAAATTGTGGACTTTATAAACTTGAAGAACTAAATATATTCCTATATGGATACTTATTTATCAGCTATGTGATTCAGCCCAGGTCTGGACTTAAAAGGCATTTAGTGAAATTGGAAATAAATTAGATGACAGATTTTGAATTTAAGTAAAAGTTTTAAATATATCCCATAGCAGTGCCATGTATTTATTTCTACTTAAAGACAATGACTGGTAATAGATACATCTATGCTCATTGGTGTAGAAGTTAAACTTTTCTGTAGGCTAACTTTTTTTTTTCATTTCTTAGAAAGTCATGATACTAAAGAAATTCAGAAATCCCCAGGAGATTCTCTGCAAATGCAAACTTGTTTTTTCTTCCACATGTTCACTTCTCATAACTCCTTGACCTGTACCCTTCACTTCATCCAGTTTGTGAGTCCTGTACAGTTTCTTCCTTAGGCTGTGCCTCCTATCTAGAATGCTCTCTCTTCTCTTATGTACACCCTTTCCCCACCTCATTTTTGTCTTATATCTTCCCTGATTGGGAGGAGGTGGTGAGTGATAGCAGTGGCTCACACTTACTAAGCACACGTCACACTTTAGTCTCTGTGTTGGCAATTTCTATGCCAATTTATACATTGTTTAATAATACTCTCATTTTACAGATGGAAGAACTGAGGCTTAGAGAATACCAGTGGACTCACAAGTAATAAGTGATATAAAGTCAGAATATGAATCTAGGTCTTTTTGTTGTTGTTGTTGTCATTTCTAGATTTAATGAATTACTTGGCCTGATTTCTTGAATTGCTAAGGCCTAATTTCTTTAACCAGATGGTCAGCTGCTGGCAGGCAAGGACCTTATCTTTTAGACTGCATAGAGTAGATACTCAATAGTTCTAGCCTTCTGTTGGAATGAAAAATAAAATGTAAAATGTCAAAGAATTTTATAAATAGCTTAAACATTGGAAGAAAGAAACAAATCCCAGAAAACGAGTTTCTCAAAAATCATTACATGAAGCTATAACACACTGGTTCTGTGTGAGCCAGGCCCCCTCCCCCTCCTCCCTCATGGGTATCTAGAATGTTAGTGGGGGGGCGGTACTCAGGTTATCAGGATACTGTGCGTATCCTTGCACTTAGTGGGTATTAGATAGGGATGTTACACATCCTGTAGGACATGGGAGAGGAGAGTTCCATAAAATTGCCAGTCCCTACAGGCTGCCAATGCTCCTGCTGAGCAGCAGCAGCTGGCTCTGCAGCCCAGAGATGGAAAATGTGGACCCAGAAGCCAGGTGGAATTCTGACCTAACTCTGCATTTTACTAGCTCTGTAACTCCTGTCATCATGTTAACTATGTGCCCTCTACTCCTGACACACTGTTAATGCCAATGAAGTCAGATATTATTCAGTGCTTCCACAAAAGTGTCCTCGACGGCAAGACGTGATCTTCAAGGAGTGACAGAACTTACCAGATTAATAGTCTCAGTGTACAAATCAAGATATGTCCTAAAATAGTGCTTCCCAGACCCTGATGTGCTTATCAGTCTCCTGGAAATCTTATTAAAATGTAGATTCTGATTCAGGAGGTCTGGGGTGTGAGTCTACATTTCTGACAAGCTCACGATGCTGGTGGTGTTGTCTGTGGACCACAGGTAAAGCAGTAAGATTATAAAGTAACTTGGGGGAGGGGCTCACTTAAAAATTCAAACAAGCATTTATTGCATGTCTACTGATATCTTAAATTATAGAGATGGAGATAATGGAGGTTGCATATAAAGAGTATAGAGTTTGGTTTCTTCACAGAAGGAACTTCCATCTGTTTTGCCACTTGGGAGAGAGAGAATACTTTCCATGGATAGCCAATGGATAACTACATTTCTCAGAAGAAAAAGGAAGATAAATACTTTCTACCTATGTTTCCTCATTTAAAAAAGCCATTTGGAGTACCCAAATAATAATTTTAGAGAAGATATTGTAACTAAGTAAATGAAAGACTTGGCTGCTATTCTTGGATGAGGATGTAAGCCTTGCATATCTCAGAACTGATGTGAGCTGTGTGTTTGAGTTCGTGTGTGTGTGCACACACACACATGCACAGGTGCTGTTGCATACGTGTGCTAGCTAAGAAGTATATGAGGTCTTTGCTAGTCATTGCTTTCCTAAATATTGATAGAGAGGGGGAATCTAGACCCTTCCCCCCACCATGAAGATTAAAATTCTGAGTTAAGGGGCAGAAGTTCCTAAGGCAGCCTCGACTAGGAACTTTGCATATTTTAGGCAGTGGAAGTTATTTGAACATAGTCATTGAGAGAAGAGACTACTCATTATCCACTTAAAATACTTCCCGGCTGCAGCACGGTGTTGTACAGAAGCCAAAGCAATTGGCTTTGCATTTGGCCAGCTGATTTAGCAAGAAATCTTGCAAATTATGCAGTCCTTACAGATGGTGCTGTTGGGTTTGTTAGAATGTTTTAAAACACTGACATACTTGACCATGAACTAAATTTCCAGCCTCTTAGAGCTACTCCAGACAATCTCAGACTCTTTGCACAGGCAGTCAGAGACCAGGAGAAGAACTTTCCTGCAACCTTATGATAAATGATTTCCTTTAAAAACCACTTATATATTAAAATAACTTGGTGGTAAATTTGGCCAAGTGGAGCTCCTGGAACTTTTTGGTATCTTTGCTTATTATCTCTGAGGTGCTTGAGTAACTTTTAAAAACGGTTCTCAATTGACTTTCTGGTGCTCTGCCTGGAGGTCAAGGAGGAGTATTTCTAGGAGAGATGATGAGTGTGCTCTGCCAGTGTGAAGTGTGAATCCCCGAGAGACTGTGATGAGGGTCTATGCCTGAATGTATAGAGAAAGAACAGCTGGAGGCTGTGGCTTTCTCCAGAAAGAGTTTCTAAATTTGCCTTTAGAAACTATTAGAAAGTTCAAGATGCTGTGTCATCTTCATACACCCATCTATTGCTCAGATCTTTGCAACAGGGACTGGTCCTGATCTTTGCTGTTAACTGCTTGCTTGTTTTCTTGGTTTCTATTTGAATCATCACCTTTTATCAATCTTCCTCAATGCCCTTTTAGTTGTGCTTATTTTGGCTTTACGTAAGCAGTATCTCTGGAAGCATGAATGAGGCAGATAAAATTCCCCGGGGTTACTGAACTGCCCTTCATCTATTTTTAGCACTGCTATGAATTTACCATAGCCCACAGCATAATTCAATCACTCTAAGCCAGAGAGCAAATTCTGAGTTTTTTTCTTAAACTTTCCCAGAGGCATTTGGTATAGGCTAAGCTTAAAGGCACATGATTCAATCATTGATTATTCAAGATAAGTCATACCTAGGTTTCTGTAATCCTCAGATTGTCACTGTCAACTAGACGTTCAGCTCTCTCTCCTAATTTTGTGTTGGGAGCTGCACACAGCCTATTGTGTCCTATGTGTGTGTGGCTGTGGCAAGGCAGAATGGCAACACAGAAGTATCTAGTATGCACTAAGGGACTGAGGACAGCCAATTTGACAACTTTTTCTTAGCTCAAGGATCTTAAGAGAACTCTTGGCCTATAGCCTGAGCCGTTTGATCATTGTATACCTTCCAACCCTAGGAACCCTCCATAAGGTGAGGACAGTGTGTCTTATTTATCACCATAGTTTCATTTAAGGCCTTAAGCTTTTCTTAATAGATGACTTAGGAGGCATTGATTGCTTGATTAATTCATTCAAAAAACTTTAATTGATGAACACCTATATTCCAGCTTGGAAACTTGGAATGGAGTTTCCCCAGTTTTTGATAGAAATATATTCTTACCACCCACTGTTTTGGCTATCAGAGCTCCCTTACACCTCTTCTATTTCTTGAGAACATGCTCCTCTATGGGTGGTTGGCTCTATACTCCTATTCAGGTTTACTCTTTTTCTCTGCTGCTGCAGGATCAACACTATTTCTGCTAGCAAAGTGATCCCTCCCACTTAATGAATGTTGCTAGTTTCGGTCACTGATTCTTTCATTCAGGGTCAGACTGGAGGTTAGGAGATAGTTGTCCTATCATGTGACCTGTGATGGCTTTGTGATGTGTCCACTTGGCTAGGCTGAACTACATCCTCCAGAATTCCCTCTCTAGTATGTCTCTGGCTATAGTGGACTACAAAGGAGATTTCTTTTGCAAAAATTGGAAAATGATAGGGTGGCAGCAACTGTTTTTGTAGCTCACACACTCCCACTGTCAATTGTTCAACCAGGCACCAGTCTAGGTGTTGCTGTGGAGGGATTTTGCAGATGTAATTAAAGTCCCTACTCAGTTGATTTTAAATTAACCAAAGGGATATTGTTCCAGGCTATTTAATCAGTGGAAAGTTCCTCTGGTTTCATTGAGATATAACTGACATACAGCACTGGATAAGGTTTAAGTTGTACTGCATGATGGTTTGATTTATATATAGTGTGAAATGATTACCACAGTAGGCTTAGTTAACATCCATCATCTCATATAGATACAAAAAATTAAAAAAAATTTTTCTTGAGATGGGAACTCTTTGGATCTATTCTGTTAATAACTTTCAAATATGCCATATAGCAGTATCAACCAAAGTCAACATGTTGTACATGACATCCCCAGTTTTATACCTGGAAGTTTGTGCCTTTGACACTTTCATCCAATTCCTTTCACCCCCAGGGAGCATTTAGACCCTTCATGATGTCATAAAGTCCACACAGCAGAGCAGAGGAAAGTTGTAAAATCTTTTTTTTTTAATGCTCTGGGACAAAACTCATGTTGTTGCTGATCTGCTGATTTGCCTTGTTGGTGTGAAGCAGCAGCTGGGCCTGAAATTGCTTTCCATTCCAGCAGGATCCTCATTCAATTTCACTGAGTTTTGGGCCAAGTGTATGTGTTCAACTCCAGGACCGAGAGCTCTGGCTTCTGTAAGATGTTCTTACCACCAACTTCACTCTTGTGAGGTCCCATCCTGCTTGTGATCTCTGCTTTCTGCCTGCTGGCGCTGTGGATGTCAGGCTTGTAGCCAGCTCCTACAACTGTGTAAGGCAATTCCATGTAATAACTAAATGGGTAGATTAAAACAAACCTTATACTGGTTCTGGTTCTCTAGTTAAATTCTGACATAATACATGAACTGTAGAAGCAATTGTTTTCTTTAAATGTCATGAGGTTAGGCAGTTTGAAACCTAGATGGCTACCAACATTCATTCATTTATTCATAGCTGTGCTAGGGTTGGCAACATAGCCATAAACAAGGCAGATATGGACCCTGCCCTGGGAGAGCAGATCTTCTAGTAAGAAAGCGGATGGTGAGCAATATTTATAAGGATGACAAAGTTAGCATGGAGCTGTTAGAAGGTATAACTGGGAGATCCAACCTACTCTGACTTGTCAGAGAAGGAAAGTAAGGCCTAACGAGGGAGCTAGAGAGCATGACAACAAATGAAGGGTATCCAAGTAATTCTTTAGAGAGTAGTCAATGGTGGCAGAGGGGTGAGGCTGGAGAGGCAAGCCAGAAAGGCCCTGCAGGGCACGATAATGATGTCTGCCTGTACCCTGGGGGACAAACATTTCTATTTAAAAGTCTTCATACTTTGGAACCCTAGATTTCTTTTTTATTTAATGATATCACACTATGGTTTCATTTTGAGCTTTTAAAGATTCCATGGTGTTAGTGCCCTTGCCCCTGCCTCTGCTCTTATTTACATTTTTTTATGCAGTCCTCTTGTATAATTCACCACACTCCTTCTATTATGCTATTGTCACACTGGCTATTGTCATACTATTTTTAACCCATTCTGCTTTGAAGCCTCACAGCACACCTGTTAAGGGAAAAAAGAAAACAAAATCTGAACTCTTAACATTAATTCACCTGAGACAATTTCTATTGAGACTCATAGCAAAGATTTCTGGAGAGTGAGCAGTTCATCTGGCCTCATTATTCCTGGTCTTCTGTGTCAGAATCTGAGGTGCGGGGAGCTCAGCCCTTCCTTGGCCTCTTAACCCTTCCTGCCTGCTAAGCACCCTGCTGCTCTAAGGATTTTCTTAAGTAACTGAGTCACATGCCATCCTTGAAATGTGGATCAGTAAATACCATCAATTCCATAGGCTAGAGAGATAAGAAAAACTGAATTGGAGAAACTAGAACATATGTGACAAAACCAACCACAAATCTGAGTAAGTTCTGAATGAACTTAAATTTAATTTTTGTCTGCCTTTGCTTTTCTTCATTTTTCAAAATGCCCTCTTCACGTCTTCCCTCTAGGTGCCTAGGAGAAGCAACTAGGTATAGAGGGGTGAACCAAATCTTAAAAGCAGACTAATATGGGTCAAAAATCTGGTCCCATCAGGGGCAACTGGGTGGCTCAGTCAGTTAAGCATTTAACTCTTGATTTTGGCTCAGGTCATGATCTCATGGTTTTGTGAGTTCAAGCCCATGTCAGTCTCTGTGCTGAAAGTGCGAAGCCTGCAAGCCTCTCTCTCTCTCTCTCCCTCTCCCCTGTTTACACTATCTTTTTCTCTCTCAAAATAAATAAACTTAAAAAAAAAAAAAGAAAGTCTGGTCCCACCATAGTTGATTCCTTATCTGTAAAATGGGAATAATATGACCTACCTGTCAAATGACATGTGCAAGGCAACCAGCTTAGTGCTAGGCACATAGACGAGGCTCAGTAAATTTTGGGTACTAAGTACTATGATCTTGAACAAAATGACTTATCTCATGGCAGAAGGAGAGGATTGAACTACCTAGCAGTTAACTCTACTGTTTTTTACCCTTTGTATACATTTTTATACAAGAAGTAAGAAGTGTCATTTGCTTTAAAAGCAGTATCTGACCTCTCAAGGTCTCGAGGTCAGAAGTCCTGATAGACAGTCAGGTTCATGGGGATTGTGAGGACACTTGTAGAACTTGCCCAGACTTGTTTAAAAGTGAATTGGAATTAGCTATATCTATTGTGGTAATTATTTCTCAACATATATTGAGTCATTATTCTGTCAAGTCATTATGTTGTATACCTTTAATACAGTATTGTATATCAATCAAGCCATTATGTTGTATACTTTAAACACAGTGTTATATGTCAATCATTTATCAATAAAACTGGAGAAAAAAAGAAATTATCCTCATTGTAAAAAAAAAAGTGAATTGGAGTGCAAGAGTTTTGGAACTATCTAGTGGTGATGGCTATACAACATTGTGAATGTAATTAATGTTACTGAATTGTACACTTAAAATGGTTAAAATGGTAAATTTTATGTTACATATATTTTACCACAATAAAACAATTCAACCCCCCCCCCCCAAGTGAATTAGAGAGAGGACTGCCTCTGTGTCTGAATAACTCCTTCTCCACTCCCAAATGTAGGCTAGCTCAGTAATAATATGACCCACTTAAGAATGAAATAAAGAACCGTGTGGGGACTATTGTTGCTAAATGACTCTAGAACGTGAGTGAAGGAGGGACCATACCTAAACTCCTTACCTTACAGATGATGGGTTGGAGACCCTGAAGGCTCAACTTGCTAAAGACTTCATACACAGCACCTTAATCCCTTGAGAGCTGACTGCTGCTCTTGTGCTATGTATGCTATTTCATGGGGTTGGGGAGTCCTGATAGACAGTCAGGTTCATGGGGATTGTGAGGACACTTGTAGAACTTGCCCAGACTTGTTTAAAAGTGAATTGGAGTTAGCTATATCTATTGTGGTAATGAACAATCTATCTAGCCTCTAGATAGAACAATCTATCTGGCCTCTAGAACAAAAAAGGCTGTCTGGGTGTGTAAGTAGGGTCTTTTCCTTCCATCTTTTCTCCAGGTGCCTGACTCTTGTCTCTAAGGATCCAGGGGCTCTAAGTTCTCAAACTGTAAAAGCTGGCCTAGGGCATTGAGTTTCAGTCCTAGCTTAATCCTCCCACAGCTGAGCAGGTAGAGTACATGAGTGATGTCTGACTATTCCCCAGCTTCTGTCCTGCTGTCTGAACTTCAGCACCAATCCTCAAATGGGCCATTCTCTTTCTCCTGTTAGGGCCTTTGCATATGCCATTGTCTCTGCCACGAATACTCTTCTCACGCTGGTAAATCTTAGTCATCTTCAAGTTTCAGGTGAAACATCACTATGTCCAGAAAGCTTTCCTGTCTTCCCAGCCTGTTAGCTCAGATTGTTGTGTGATGTTTTAGTCACCTAAACGTCTTGGTAACTCTCATCTCACTTGTGACTACTTGAATTATGTCTGAATTCCATGCAGGAGAGAAAGCTCTCTCCTAACAGGAAATAGGTATTTCCTATCCACCATTATTTCCCAAGAGCTTAGCACTGGGTCTGGCACATTTGTGTTCATTAAAGAAATAAAAGTCTTCAAAATCAACCCTGTCTTCTCATGACGAGGAGAATGAAGTTAATGATATACCTTTACCTACATCAATAGGCAACAGTTGCCAATGGGAGAAGGGCAGATGCCTTAATCCATAGAGACTGATGGAGGCAGTGGATTAATATCATTACCCAGTTGCAATTCCAAAGAAATGTACAAATGAGCAGGGAGGAGGGACTGAGTTTGATCACCCACATCAGCCCTGCATGTGAGAATAAACAGTAAGTCAGCAGCAAAGTGGATATAGGTTTGACGTAAGGGAATGCTTTCTGGTATGATGTTAAGGGTTGTTAAAAATGGGTTGGATTACAGAGGAGGAAGCCTTCCCTCGAGGCTTCAGAAAACAGGCTAGAGTTCCATTTCGGCTGGTTATTTTAGGCTTACCACAGGCAGCTGGGTAGACTAGACATCCTCTTAGGATCCAGTCATTCCATTCCTCTGACCCCTAAGAAAGCTATAGACACGGTTGTTGTCAATAAGCACGAAACCATACACGCAAATGGGAGATGCTTCTAGCCAGTCCTGTGGCTGAAAATGTTACTAGTTCCTTTTCTACTGAACATTATGAATTTACCTTTTGTCTAGAAAATTACTTCAGGCTCTAAGCACAGCAAAGCTCATTCTATAAAGGACTGGTTCCATATTTCAAAGCGAGAACTGCAATGAATACCTATTTAACTCTTACATTGACACACACCTAAAATATGTGGAGAATACAAGCTAAGCAAGAGGATTAAAAAACAACCTACCACTCTGACTAATTCCAAGTACACAAAGGAAACGATCTGGACATTGCTGTGTGTCCTATGCAGGGGAGGAGAGACTCATCTTCTCTCTCTGGTTTTAAAGTGAGGGAAGAGAATGGTCTTGAATATGCAAATGAATCTAATTTAATTAACTTTTATGACCACAGCTCCTCTGAGATAACCATGGGAGCCAATTAGATTCCATTAAAATTCAATCATTTCCCTGAAGCTTCAATGAGACACCCTTGTCTTCTTGAAGAAAAAAAAAAAGCCTCAAAAAATGTGAACCGATCTAATCAGAAACAACAGAAAAGAGAGTTCTCTGCAGCAGCTCTGCTGTGTGGCCTGACCAGAAGCTGCTTACAGAGTCATTAGCTCCAGTTCGTCACCCGGAGGCTGGTGCTGCAAGCTGCAGTGTGAAATCATTCCAGGCCAGTCGTGTAACTGCTGACCCAAAGTTTATCATGAACTGAAGCTGTGAAAGGTAAAGGGAATGATATTTCATACTTGGGGCCAAAACTCAAGCTTCATGGAGGGAGAGGGAAGAATTGCCTTGACCTCTGGCCACAGAAGAAGAGGAATTTATCCTATGTACTCCTTTCCTGTCCAGTTGTATAATGTTCTGTCCTTTTTCTTCCCCCCAATTATAAATGCAATACGTATTTATTGTAAAAAATGGAAAAATTCAGAACAGCTAAAAGACACTGCCCATATCTAACAAGAGTTTGGAAGGCTCTCTTCTGCAATTTTGTTTCCTTCTTTTCCCCTTACTAAGCAAATTTTAGAGAATTTTTGTGTGTTTGGGGGGGGTGGTGTGGGAAGGGTGTAATGAGTGTTTGGAGTGGGGGTATCATATTCCAGTTCCTTCCTTTTCTTTTCAATCTATATCCCATGCCACTTACCTCTCTTGTCTCTA